GCCTGGCCTGGCTGACCCCAAGAGGCACCAAACCCCCTCATAGGGGCCAGCACTCTCGGCGCAGGTCCGAAAGTTAAGTTCCCTTCCCACCGCCACCCCCACCGTCCGCCCCCCGCCCACCACGCCCCTTCTTCCCCTTGCCCTTAGCCTGGCTCCTATGGCGCGTGCGAGACTGCATCGCCACCACAGGCTGCGCAGGCAGGGCTGGATTGTTGTAAGCCTGCGCCTGATTACTGAGAGCGCTATTCACAACATTTTGGTCTATACGACCGCTGGCTATCAGTTGTGCAAGTCTGCTGCTATTCCTCAGGGCCCCCACCTGTCTCCTTCGAACATCCGTGAGATCTCGCGTTCCAAGGGCCCCCGAGGGGCCGCTCCGATCAGCTCCTTGCCGCCCTCGATCTCGATCGTCCTGAAGATGAGAGGAGCCATCACCGAGGCCAGCTGATGACTGTGATCGAACTTGAGCAGGATGGTCGCGCGCTGGTCCTCTCCCTCCTGTTTCTTCTGCATCTTCGCGCGGCAGTACAGCGCTAAGGTTCCGATCTCCCCGATCGTGATCGCTTTCAGGCGCTCGTCGAGGATCTGCTTCACCTGCTCCGATATGCGCTGCATCCCTTGGTCCGCGGGTGTTGGTTCCACCATTTTCGATTCCTTCCCCGCTATGTAGATGCACATCGCCATGAAGATGTGAAGGAACGGAGGACCGCGAAGCTTCCAATCGACCTGCTTGCCCGACTCTGCGTCGGCCCTCACCTGCTTCGACTCTGCCTCGTACGCCTCGCCGCCCCCGACCATTGCCGCCGCGACCCCCGCGGCCGCGAGGGCGCTGAACCTGGCGAAGATCACCGCCGAAAGGCCCGCGAGCTCGCGGGCGTTGCTCAGCGACAGGCGCGCCATGTAATTGACGAGCTCGCCCTCGGCCTTGCCCTTTCCCTTCTCCTCGCCGCCTTTCTGCTCCTTCTCTTTGCCGTCGGCCTGGCCCTGGCCGTCTGCAGCCCTCCTGCGGGTCGACCTGAACCGCCCAGGTGCCTCGGCCACGCTGCCTGGCATGTGGGGCCCGCTCGCGCGGGGCGAAAGGGGCGAGCTGCCGCGGCACATGAGTGACTAGATGGCTGCAAAACTGGTCAACTGAGGCAGGCGATTCAGAGCAGCAAGGGCGCGCCAGACTCTGGAGCTCTGGCTGCGGGCTAAGTATCGCGGGCCCACGAGTGTCACAATATCTCCTCCTCAGGGGCCGCAAAAGGTGACAAGTAGCTCCTTTCTGATCTGAGAATGTCTGACGGCAATGGATGCATAAATTACTGGGAGTGAGCACATGCATGAAGCTACGCAGGTTATAGGGCCCACGGAGGCGATGTAAAAGCGCTTTCCTAATTGCAACTGTACAGTTACAAGGGGCTCCGTCCGTCACGATCCAGCACTCGTATTTCTCAGGGTCCTCGGAGCTTTGTTCCCCAGGAGGAGGAGGAGGAGCCTCAAACCCAGGAGGGGGGATTTGGACCGAGAAGACCTCAATGCGTAGTTCTGTCACGTCGAACCGAGTAAACTCATCAGCGAAATCTTCATCGCGAAGTAATTCTACGTTATTCGCTGGCGATTCAGACAAGCCTTCATCTGCTACATCAGTTGCATAGATTAAATCAGCACAAAGCTGGAGATCCCATGGGGACGCGCATTCCGTGGGACGCCCATTAATTATGGGGGGGCGAGCACGATCAACTTCCATTTCCCCAAACAGAGCAGCCAAGACCTGGGAATTAGCAATGGGGTCCTTGGCCCAGCTCTGATAGAGCTTAAGGCGTCGAATTACTATTTCGATCCAGCACGAAGCAAACCGCCACCACCTCAGGACTTGGTGGTTAGTTAGGCCAACGGGGTGCTCCCCGTCCCAGTTCGCGGCTTTTCCTCGCATCATGGCGACTCGGCAGCACCGCGTGAGCTGTCTGTCGGGCTCTTCACAATCTTTTGCTGTGGCAACAAAGCTCTCGAGCCCGCTTAGGGGCGCGTTCAAGACAAACCAGAGAAGGAGGCACCTCTTAAACTGGAACGGGAGCGACATCGTCCAGATCGCGCCGAGGGAGTGAAAAGACGTGCGAGCTGCCTGGCCCCGCCTCGCAATCTCGTGCGTCGGCGTACTCCGCTGGGCCAAACGCGGTCCAAAGTATCTGACTGAATCGAGAATTCTACCGTTAAGACCGTGCTGTTGGGGTCCTCCTAGAAGTTGTTTAAGTGTCGTGATGCCCACCCCCTGGAAATGAAACAAAAACTCCTGCGTGCTAGCATTCTGTAAGTAGCCGCGCTGATCGAGTTGCTCGTCTAAAATAGCGCCCGACTTACGGATCTCATCCATTAGCCCGGTGAAATTTAAACCGGGGGAGGCAAGTGTAAACTTCAAAAGAACATCTGCATATTTGCTCAGCGATAGATCTGCTTTACATGGGCCCCAAACAGAAGTGAGAGCTTTGCCTGTTGGGTCATTTTGCCAGCGCCAATAGCTCCACCGAAAAAACTGGTGGTTTGAAACTTTCAACACAGTTCACCACAATGAATGGGCCCCCCATCATGCCTCCCTCACTGGGCTTCATTACCAGTGAGCGGCCCGAGGATTCTACAAACATGACTCCTTGCCTATAGCGCTGGCGGCAGAGCACGCGGCCCTCTTCCTTCGAGCCCAATTCCACTGCCGCAGCCATGCATTGCCAGTCCGTGCTGGCGAAAGCATTCGTGAGATCTTCGAGGCAAATCACGTGTGTGCGGTGGCACGCTCGCAGCCGCCAGCTGGTCTGTAAAGCTGAAGGGATAGCATTCTCTCGGCGTCGGCCTCGACAGAAGCCGCGATCAGTCGGGGCGGACCGAAACTTAAAATCGAAAAATCCTTTGCCCAGCGCGGGCAGCACGTGGACGATCCTTCGGCCCTTTGGGCCCACACTCGAGTTTTTATAAATCGCGGCATCATCGCTAGCATGCCAACGCAGTGGGGTTATATCAAACTGTCTAATCTTCCAGAGACCTAGCTCTAGTAGAAACCAACGAATATCGCATCTAGGCATTTTCTTTCGGGGGAGCCGGCCCCCCTTCTCAGCTTGAGCTTGCGATGGGGGAAAAGACACGCGTGCCGCAGTTCTACAAGAGCTGCGCCCGATAGGACCTGTTTCCTTCGGGGGGCTCGCCTGATATATCTCTTATTTTGTTTTAAATCGCCCTCGGCTAATTCCTGAACATCAGCGCTGCGCTCAAAAGGGAAATCTTGGATTTCCCTTTCCGACCTCCAGCCTTCATAATCAAATTCAGAAGCCCCCATGCCCCCCCCCCCCCCCCCCCCCCGCCCGCCCAAAATAAGCGCCTCCGCCCACTCCTGAGCTGACGGCAGGGCTGCGCACGCAAGCCGACCATCGCGACGCTTCGGTCCGCGCCGACAACGCGCCGCGGCTCGGGCGGCCCCCGTGGCCTCAGCTGGGCGCCCTCGCCCCCGCGCTTCCCAGGCTTCGGCCAGGGGCCCCGCCTTGCGTTCTCTGGCATGCTTTCGGCGCCCCTGAAAAAGAGTGCGACTCAACTCGGCTAGCTCAGTCTCAATGCTTTCGACCTCTTCCTCCGAACAAGCGAGTCTGGAGCCCCTAAGAGCAGCCCTTTTTAAAAAGCAACTCTCTGCGACGGATTGCAAACTGCCGATATTCATCACTTGCGACTACTGGTCTAAAACAGGCTTGCCCAGCTTTGACCAGGCCCCGCTCCAGAGTCTCAAAAATCTGATCTGGCGCAGCGTGCTCTTTTAGCCGCAAGGGGTGTGCCGGCTGCAGCTCATCCTCGACGGCTAAGAGAAATTCCCCCCGCCCCCTCCCCGTGCGCACCGCCTCAATTATCTGGTCACGCTGCCAGCGTCCCCCATTTTCCTGCGCCTGCTGAGGTTCGACCGAATGCTTATTATATTTCAGGCAGCAGTGGAGTGGCAGGTGATCTTCTGGGGGGATCCCCCGAAATGCTTGCAGTTTAGCTCCTAGTTTCGTTAAAACTCCTGTCGATGCGATGGCATATCGCATATGCTTAGGTATAAAAAGATAATATATACGACTCGAACTCGCGGGCCCGAAGTACGCGTGCACGATATGTTCAGTTAAAGTGTTACAAGCGAGCATATGATGTTGAGCCAGAAGCTTACGCATTGTCGTGCCCGCCCCACCCCGAAGACGCTCCACCGTCCGAGCCCCCACCACCCCATCCTCGGCATCTTGCCACTGCTTCTGCTCAATCAAAAAGCGGCCGATTCCATAATTTAAATCAGCATATATGATGGGGGTCGTGCGAGTTGGCAGGGACGAAAAAAGCGACTGTAGCCAACTGGTCATCTGTTTTACAACTCCTAGATATTGACCCTTCTGATTCGCTTTCTGGCTGCGGAGGAAAATGCATTGAGATAGGGGTGACATCTGAATTCCTCCTCTTCACACGGATGCCTAGGCAGCGCCCAGAGGCCCCAGAGGGGGGAGGCCACATCTGCTTTACACAAGAACGATCAAGGCCTGCTCCTAATATGACACTCACTCCACAGCTACGATTGCTATATGGCGACTCGCGTGCCCCCCAGGGGGCCTCAATCACTGTCTTCCCACTTACTCTGCGAGTCAAAAGGGTGTACTCTGACGCCGAAAAAGCCTTCAGCTGCGTTCCTGCCAGCAATACTAAATCAAAGTTTGCGCATTCCTCGGTGATCTCGGAGAATCTGTCCCCGCCAGCCGACTGCGGGTTGTACCCCAAGATGCGCAGACGGTCGGGCTGGCTCATGATGCGTTCGGCGTTGTAGTCCTGTCCTGCCAGCTGACCTCCTCACTCCATCGCGGCGCACGTCGGAGTGTGGCCCCTCTCGGACGGACTGCGCGGGAAGAAAAAGAAGAGCCCCGTCCTCTCAATCGCTTGATCCTCGAGGTTTTCCTCCTCCTCCTCCTCCTCCTCCTCCTCCTCCTGTTCCTCCTCCTCCTCCTCCTCCTCGTGGCGTGCTGCACCGAGGACGCGTCCTTCTCCTTTGCCACGATGGAGGTGGCGCGCCGCACCAGCAGGCTGGTCCTCGGGGCCACGGCGCGGTGGCCGGTCCGGGGCCCGTGGGACCCGTCGTCGTCGTCGTCGTCGTCGTCGTCGTCGTCGTCGTCGTCGTCGTCGTCGTCGCCGTCGTCGTCGTCGTCCGTCGAATTTTTGAGGGCCACGGTCGTCTGGGGTCATCACGCAGCTCGGGGCATGGTTTTTGAAAGGGGGGGGGCGTCGTCGTCGCCGCTCGGGCCCCATCCGCCCCGAAGCCCCCTTGGCGAGCACGGCCCGGGCCCCGCGGAGGCTCTGAAGGCTACTCGGCCCCAGTCCGCCTGCTCGTCCTCGATTTCGGCCTCACCTTCGCCATCGTCGCGTCGACCGCGGGAACTCCGAGTGTCCTGCTGCTGGTTGCGCCATGGGTTGCTGCGTCCTCCGCCGGCGCGGGAAAAACAGCCATGGCCCCTGGTGCGCAACGGGCTCCGCCGTAGGCCACCGAAACTTGAAACGTACCGCGGTCCTCATTTTCCTCCTTCGCTGGCGGCCTGCAGCGTGTTGCGCCATAGGCTGCGACCTCGGCTGCCGAAGCTTGAAGCGTCCTGCGATCGGCTTCGCCATGTGGTGCGCCATGAGCCGGCGAATATCAAAGCGTCTGACTATCGATTGCGCGGTGGAGTCCCCGGCGGTGGAGATTGCGCCCGCGAGCGCCGAACTGAAACCGCCCTGCTGTTGGTTGTGCCATGGAATGCACTCGCGGTCGCGGTGCCCGGCGGCACTTCCGGCGCAACCAATGGTAGCACAGTGCTACCATTGGTTGCGGCAGAGGTGCCGCGGGGACAAAGTCCTGCTCATGGCCACGACCAGTACAGATCAGCCAAATTCGGCGGCGGACAAAACTCCCTTTAATAAACCACCCTCTCGTGAAAACGGCCTAGGACCGAAACCGACGAACCTGGACCCGCACAGATGACGGCCGCGGTGCCCTCTCGCGAACCGAAACCGGCCAATTCGCAAATCGAACTGTCAAACTCCGACTCAGACAAACTACATCATGTGAGCAGGGACGGACCGTCCTGGCATTCCTATAGTCCTACCACGAAATGTTCCTAGAACCCCAAAAAACGCTTGAAGATCAACAACAATGTTCTCATACCAGTAATCCGATGCGTTACAACAAGACGGTCCCAGCCAGAACTGTTCTAAGAGCATTTCGTGGGAACCACAAAACGGTTCTTGTAACATTGTCTGGTAGGGCGATAGGCGAGCAGGGACGCTTCGCCACTGCTTGACAATTCGCTGATCGACGGAGGAGGAGGAGGAGGAGGAGGAGGAGGAGGAGGAGGAGGAGGAGGAGGAGGAGGATAATTAAGGAGGAGGAGGATGAGGAGGAGGGGGAGGAGGACAAGCTAGGTGCGCTCGCGTCATATCTGGCATCCTACCCCTCCCTCCCATCCCTTACAATGGCGCAGATCCCGTTTCTACTCGCACAGTCGGATGTCGAGCAGGGCAATGATCCCGAAAGGGTACGCGATGCGTTGTAGAGCACGGCGTGGCATGGGGTAGAAGAGCACCGCAAAGCGTAGTATGAACCTAACATTGACTTGCATGCCGTGGCATGGCAAGGAAAATGACGCCAGCGCTGCAGCGGGAGCACGAGTCGAAACGAGCGGAAACGCTTGAAATGAGGCCCGCGCTGCAGCGGGAGCACGATTCGGAACGAGCGGAAGCACGCTGGAATCGGCCCGGGAGGCTTCCCGGGCGCCAGAAGCAGAAACTCAGCTTTTTCACAAGAGAAATGTGTGTTGGAATGGCCTTTTTTTGGCGTCGCCTCAGAACTCGATTTTCCGGCGCCGGCCGGAACCGGCTCCGGACCGGGCTTGGGCGCCGGCCACCGGGCGTCCGGCCCGGGCGCCGGCTCGGGCGCCGGCCCGGGCGTCGGAATCGGCCGAGGAGGCCTCCCGGGCGCCGGAAGCAGAAATCCAGCATTTTCAAAAGAAAAATGTGCATTGAAATGCCTTTTTTTCGGCGCCGCCTCGGAACTCGATTTTCCGGCACCGAAAGAACCGGCTCCAGACCCGGCCCGAATGCCGGCCCAGGCGCCGGCTCGGGCGTGCAGGCGCCGGCGGCAATGAGGCCAGCGCTGCAGCGGGAGCACGATTCGGAACGAGCGGGGCCCGAAAATGAGGCCGGCGCCTCAGCGAGAGCAGCATTTTGGAAAAAAATGCAAGCGAAAACCAAACTCCGGGGAAGCCTATAAAAAGAACGTACGCGGGGGGGGGCGGCTACTCCCAAGACGTCATCAGGGGAAGAGGGAGAGTAGTATTCATTTTGAGTAATAGTGGTGGAGGAGGAGGAGGAGGAGGAGGAGGAGGAGGAGGAGGAGATGGAGGGAGGAGGAGGAGGAGGAAGGAGGAGGAGGAGGAGGAGGAGGAGGAGGAGGAGGAGAGGAGGAGAGGAGGAGGAGGAGGAGGAGGAGGAGGAGGAGGAGGAGGAAGAGGAGGAGGAGAGGAAGAGGAGGAGGAGGAGGCGGAGGAGGGGGACCTCCGACGCAGCCAAATTACACCCAGGAGCACGGGCTGCACACGAACCACGAGGCAGCTCGCCGCTGGGGCCCCGCCGCCCGCTCGGGCGGCATGCCCCCGCGGGCAGCTGCGAGGGAGCCCTGCTGCGTTTCTCCCCGTCGGCCTGCCCGCTCTTTTTCCTTGTCAGGGCGATGCGCGGGAGCCGCGCTTCCGCGCCCAACGCTGCGGGTGCCACAGCGCGTGCGTGGCGGAGCGTCTGGTCCATCGACTCTCTCGTCGAATCACTGCTTTTCCCAACCAGGGCCTGCACTGAAAGGGTTCAGAGCCTTGGCGAACGTGTGCCGCCGATCTCGGTGGCCGGCTGGGTTCCCAGGTTCCCGGTTCCGGGCTCCCGGGTTCCTGGTGATCCCCGCCTTATTCTTCGTTTTTGGCCTCCTCTTGGTCTTCTCTTTCTCGTCCCTCCTCCCTCCCTCGTCCTCTTCCCTCCCCCGCCCCTCCCCTTGACCGAACTTGCGCCTCCATTCGGTCTCCCCGTTCGTCCCCTGTCCCCCCTCCTCCCCCCCCCTCTCCTCCGTCCCCTCCTCCTTCCGCTCCCCCCTGACAGCGGGCGGCGGCGGCGCGTTGGCCACGCCGCCCTGCGATGGAGCTCCAGGCCGCGCCGTTGGGCGCGGCCCCAGGCTGCGCAGGCTGCGCCGAAGGGCAGCTGCGCGTCGCCACAGGCTGCGCCGTGGGAGGTGTTGAATTCTGCCTTGCGCCCTAGGCTGCGCCGTGGGTGGCCGACGCTTGAAGCGGCCTGCTGCTGGTGGCGCCATGGGTTGCGCCCGCAGCCGCCGAAGAGACGGCGGTCTCCCAATGGGGTAATTACGGCTGGTTCAGCCCAGCTATGTCAGTAAAGTCTGCTCAGCCCAGCTGAATTTCGCACACCCCGATCTACAGATTCAGACTACGCCAGAAAAGATACCCAAAGCCACCCAATACGTTTGGCTGTCCCGTGGGATGGACCCGCGTAAGTCGCAATTCAGCTGGACCTCCCACGGGCGCGCAGGAACGCGGAGAAGGTGGCCCACGCGCCCCTAGATGCGAAGCGTGTGGCGCTGCCGGCACCATGTGCGGTAATGTCTTCGCTCTGCTCTGCCCGAGCGACAGTGGCGCGCGAGGGTCAAACTGCGAGGGTTGGGCCTCCAGTGACATCCAGGATGTGGAGGCGAACGCGGAGGGATCAGACGTGGCAGGCACAGGGATCGAATCGGAGTTTGAGCGAGAGCGGAGTGGCTCCGATCACCAGAACGGGAAGGACGAGGTGGCGCAGACACGGCCCTGGGAGAAGCAAGAGCCTCCCTTGGGATGCTGGGAGCGGCTGCCTCGTTCGCCCCCCCCCGACATCCACTCAAACAGTCCCAGAGTCACTGTCTGAAACTCTGTTGGACACATGTCGTTGGTCAGATGCAGCAGCAAACCTTTCGTGAAGCAAGCACGACGACAAGGGCAGGGACCGGCAGCACAGGAGAGGAAGGATGACGAGAACTGGAAACGGGAGGATAACAGGAGGATGACACATGATGAGCATGCGGTGGATGATGTGGAAGAGCAGGAAAAGAAGGGACATAATGACAAGCACGACGAGAAGGACGACGGGGAGGAGAACGCACTAAAGGAGGCGGAACAAAATGGTGAGAAGCAGGAGCAGCAAGAACAGCATGAACCAGATCAGAAGATGACCGGTGCAACATGACGGATCGTGCACCAGATTCCTGGGGCCGGCCCGCAGTGGAATGTTAAGTTCCCTGGGAACGGTGCGCAGGATCATAACTAGAGACTAGAGCAAATGATGTGAGCAGTATCGGGGCAAGGATGAGGGATGATGATTAACCCTGATGTGTCAGGGACAGCGGCCGCAGATGTAAAGCAACATGGGGCCTGGGCAGTGGGCAGCAACTCGCTGGCATGGCCTGGCGGGTAACAGCATGCAGTGTTGCCCGGAGTTGGTCGATGGCTTGGGCCGCCTGGCTGGTTTGGATCGACAGGAAATTGCAAAGCCCCAGGGCTCGGCGCAGCTCCAGTAAATATGAAGCATTGTCCATCCAGTGGGCAAGCGCGAAGCCAGTCTGCCCAACGTGCGTTGAGATTGAGCAGCGCAATGCCACATCACTTTAGCCTGTGCCTGCGCGTCGCAGCACCAAGCGGCGTTTGCTCGTAGGCGGGACCACATCCACTAAGCCCCAGGTCGGGCATGATTTTGATTAGCGGCAGGTGCCTGCAGCCAGGACTGGCGTGCGCGGGGTCACCTCGGCTAACAAAGCAATATTCACGTCGGTAACGTCCGTAATCAGATCCTACGGATGTGGGGGAGAGGGGGCGACGAATGCCAATAGCTCAAGCTTGTGCACTAACATCCCGAAATCGTGGTCCCTGCCAGTGTTTGCCTGGGTGTGCAAGGGACCACGTCCAAAATTATGGGTATCGCTACAAGCTGCCTCTCGGCGAGAAGCTCGAGTCTGGGCTTGTAGACAGCGCGCGTATGGACGTGGGCGCCGCTCCATGTTGAGGGAGCCTCCATTACGATTCAGGCTCGGGGAGACGAGTGGCGCGGCGAGGCATGGCCTGTCCAGTACCAGGCCAACAGTTCGGCATCGCAAGGAGGAAACTCAAGATGCATTGGAGCATCTCGAAGGCATGAGATGCGAAGCGGTCTTGCAAGGCCGCTGCGCTGGAGCTGATTTGAGCCTGTCGAATCATCTCAGGATGAAGACGAGGAGGACCAGGAGGAGGAGGAGGAGGAAAGCAAGGAAGAGGAGGATGAGATGAAGGCCGCAGGAGGGAGGGAGAGAAAGAAAGACAGAGAGAGAGAGAGAGAACACAGCAAACAGCAGTAGCAGCGACTGAGGGGACACACATATCTATATATATATATATATATATATATACACATCTCTAAATATATGTGTGAATAAATATAGTTATGTACGTATGCATCTATGTTTATATGTATATGCATATATGCATCTATATATATATGTATATATATACATATATATGTATAGATGTGTGTACATGTATATTATATATACATATGTATATGCACGTATATATATATATATATACACATATTTACCACCACTGAGCCTCCACAGGCTCACTTTGGGCCCATATTCCAGGTGTGCATCGGCTCCCGGCCAGGCTGGGGGGCAATCTGCACCAATACCCCTGGCCCAGGACGGGCCTGCGGGTGCCCGGCGGTGCTCTCCCGACCGTCCGCGAGCAGCTCGCCTCCTCCGTCGACGTCTGCGGAGATCCCCGGCTGCCTCCTGAGGTCCCCGACGTCCCTGGAGGACCCCTGGAGGGCCGAAAAGAAGCAAGAATGTTAGAGAATCTCGATCCCCGATCCTCCTCCTCCTCCTCCTACTCTTCCTCCTCCTTCTTCCTCCTCCTCCTCCTTCGCCCGCGCGAGCGAAACCCTGGCCCAGCAGGACCTCCAGGGACCGAAGGACGGGGCCGAGCGTGGGCTTGAGATCTCCCAGGAGACGGTGGCTCCGACCTCCTCTCGATCCGCCTCCTCCTCTCGATCCTCCTCCTCCTCCTCGCCCCTCCTCCTCCTCCTCCTCCTCCTCCTCCTCCCTCCCCCTCCCTTCTCCTCTCGATCCTCCTCCTCTCGATCCTCCTCCTCCCCCTCCTCCTTCCTCCTCCTCCTCCCTCCCCCCCCTCCTCCACCTCCTCCTCCTCCTCCTCCTGGCGCACCGTCCCGCGGCCGTGCCCCGGGCGGGTCCTCTTCCGTCGAGGCGCGCGCGCGCCTGCGGGGCCGCCCGGAAGCGCGGGGCGGGCCGGTGAGTAACCACCTCCTCCTGCTCCTCCTCCTCCTCCTCCACCTCCTCCTCCTCCTCCTCGATCCTTCTCCTCCTCCTCCGGGGGGGGGAAGGACGCAGCCCTTCCTCGAGGGCTAACTCAACAGCACCAATAAACCTCGGCATCCAAGATCCGGTCAAGGTTTTGAAACAGCCCAGAGAGGTTCCTTTGTCTGGAGGGCTATTTTGTCTTGGCGCTCTGGGAGGTCAGGGGAGAAGGCGGCATCGGCGCTCGGCTATCGGAACGAAGTACTCCACCACGGCTGCCCTATCGTTGCGCCAAGAAGACTCTCTGGGCCTCCGTCTGGGGCCTGCAAAAGGAAACGGGGCGAAGACGAGTGGAGGAGGCGGGAGGGAGGGGGGTGGGAGCACGAGTCTGAAAGGTTGAGTCTGAGTGAGAGAGTGATTCTGAGTGGTACACGCGTGAGTGAGTCTGAGCACGATTGAGTCTGAGAGTGAGTCTCACTGAGTGTGGGTGAGTCCGAGCATGAGCGGGTCAGAGAATGCGTGGATATGAGTATGAGTTGGCCTGAGGGTCTATGACTCTGAGTATGCATGAATGAGTCTGAGTGCGAGTGGGTCTGGGTGGGAGTGGTCTGAGCATGACAGATGCTGATACTGACTGAGTCTGAGTCATAGATCTAAATGCGAGCGTGTCTCGAACTGAGTGAGTCTGAGTGTGATCGGGTATAAAAATGGATGAGTCTGAGTGTGAGCGGTATCTGAGTGGCTGCGCACGGAGAAGAGAGAAGGTATCAGAAATGAGTCAGGAGGCGGCGTCGTGACACCAGCAACCATGTTTTATAATTTGAGGATGGGAAACCGCTCATGGGTTTCAGCTACAATCTCGACTTCCGGTGCATGCCAATACGTCGATATGTTTATATACATATACATACATCTACAAGATTCGAACCACGCGCGCGCTTCGCGCGCGTTTAGGTTCTAGCAAGCGCCAGCCCCTGACAAGGTCACGGCTCCACGCGTGAACAAGTTCACGAGTGCACTCATGCACGTGCCGACGAATGGCCTCAGCTCTAGCGCAGAGCTTGCTCAACACCGTGAGTGCATGCCGCGATTTGTGTTGGCGTTCATCCCACAGCAAAGTGCAAGGCCTTGATTCACTTGGGGGACCTCGGGCTTAGGGCCAGATTGCGTGTTCAGTTTGGACATGCTGGAAGCCTTCGACCTCTTGGGGCTCGAGGGGCCGTCTCGCGCTTCGCGCGCGCTTCGAGTCTGGCTCGTTTCCGCGTTGTCCCACAAGCGTGCATGCACACCCGTCCGTTCCTACACCGATCCAACCATACGTTCATCCATACATCCCATCATCTGGAGTTGATGAATACCTCCATCCCAACAACGTCATCCAAACAGCCACGAAAACACACATGACACACCTGTCAAATCTGCCGACCCCTTCGGGTCATCGGCGTGTGAGATGCTTTCCCCTCTCCAAACCCCTCCCTCTGGGGGGGTATGGCCGGCCCCGGCTGAACGCGCCACGGGCCTCACGACGGGCCATGAGGGCCCCAAAAGGCCCACAAGATGGTGCAAGAGGGCCTCGAATCGCCGATGGATCGTTCCAAGGCGCCCAAGATGGTCCCCAGACGGCCCAAGAGGCCCCCGAGACGCCCCAAGAGGCCCCCAAAAGGCGACCCAAAGAGGGCCTGCAGAAGCAAACATCGCCCATTCCAATAGGGAAACGTGCGATTGTCGCACATTCGCCCCGTGGGCTTTCACAACGTCCAAGACGGCCCAAGAGGGGTCCAAGATCGCCCCAAGACGGCGCAAGAGGCTTCCAAGAAGGCTCCACGACGGCCAAAAGAGGGCCCCAAGACGGCCCAAGAGGCCCGTAAGACGGCTCCAGGAGGGGGCCCAGGCGGGGGCCCCGAGCGGAAATCTCGAGCCCTCGGCCCCAAGAGGCCTCCAGGAGCCCCCAAGAGGCCCCCAAGAAGCCCACAACAGGCTCCGAGATGCCCAAGTCAATCAAGCCCAAAAGAGGCCCCCAGAGCCCCCAAAACGGCCCCCAGAAGGGGCCCCCAGAAGGTCTCAAACGTGCTGCCAGGAGGCCCCCGAGAGACCTACCAGGAGCCCCCCAAGGGGCCGGCGGTGCGGCGTAAGCCCAAGAATCATGTATCCAGGCATCCATATATCAATTTCTCCTCACAAGCATCCATACACCACAAACCCATCAAAACGTCCATACCTGCATGCGCATTGAAAAATATACGTGTCATGAGGGGGGCCGCCAGTAGGCCGCTCAAACATGCATGCAAAAAACCCACAGGCCCCGAGTAGACACGAAGGTCACCCAATCCGCCCATTGCGGCACACCCCTCACGCGGACCGCGCTCCACATGGAGCACCGTCCACAGCTCCAGAGACAAGGTTCGCACAACATGCTCTCGCCCATTTCGGGACGCCGCTCACGCGAATCGTGCACCAGAAAGAGCTCCACCTATGGCACCAATGGGCGAACTCGCATGGCGTCCCCCCGCCCATTTCGGCACATGCCTCGTACGGGTCGTACCCCACAAGGAGCTCCACATGCGGCGTCAGCGCCCTTCGCCCTGGTCTTGGTTTTCTGATCTACTGGCCGTGGGCTCATACCGCCACCGTGCCTGGGCTGTGGGTCAGGGGCCTCTTGGATACGTACCTGTTGGGGTCACTTGGCATGCGTCTCGGGAGCCTCTTGCAGTCAGTTTTCAAGCCTCTGGGGGCTTCTGGGGGGCTGTTTGGGGGCTTCTTGGACCCTCTTTTGGGCCTCTTGGGGGCCTGCTGGCTGTCTGGGGGGTCAGCTTGGGGCGAAAGGCTCGAAATGTGAGTTGGAGTTCCCCCTCGTGGGTCCTGTTTGGGCCGTCTAAAACTGTTTTGGGCGCCTCCTGGACTGGTCTGGGGCTCTCTTTGGCTGTTTTGGGGCTCTCTCGGGGGCCTCTTGTGCCGTCTTGGGGCGATCTTGGGGGCCTCTTGGGCCGTCTTGGACGTTGTTTAAACCTGAAAAGCGAATATGCGGAAAATATACGCTTCGAAATAGAAATGGCGCAATTTTGGCCATCCGAGGCCCTCTTGGGGAGGATCTTGGAGCCTTCTCGGGGGGTCTCGGGGGCCTCTTGGGGACTCTTCGGCCGTCTTGAAGCCTTCTTGAAACGTCTTGGGTCCTTTGTGGGCCGCGTTGGTTGTTTATTTGTGTTTTCTGGAAATTGTTTGAGCGGTCGAGGAGAGGCCCAGGAGGCCCCGGAGGGGGTCCAAATTTCCGTACCGAAAACGGGATGGGGGAAATCCTGGAGGGTGTGCCGGCCTGGCCCCCAGGTCCCCAGTATGTATATATATATATATATATATATATATATACATATGTATATATATATACATATATATATATATATGTATAGATAGGTATGTATGTATGTATGTATATATATGAGCCTAAGTATATGTATACAGAGGTATGGTATGCTGATTACAACAGAAAGAAAACGTCGATCAGTGGATGGTTTGAAGTGGGATTGGTAAAGAGATTGATCAGGAGATCGACCTGGAACCTGGGAGCCCGGAAACTCAGAACCCACAGGAATCGGCCTGGAACCAATGACCAAGAACCCGGGAACCCGGAACTGGGAACTCGGGAAGCCAGCCAGCTACCAAAATCGGCGGGAAACTTTCGCCAAATGTTCCAATGTCTGCTAGGACTCCTTCAGTGGAAGCACTGATTGGGGAATATGTGCGTAGCGAATTACAACGTTAGCTTGTTATCCAGCAATACAGGTACCTATACGATCACCCTTCGGGTGATAAGGAGGTCCGGGGGGGGAGGAACCAACGTCTCACTCGATCGGTCTCACTATCGATCTCACTATCGATCTCACTATCGGTCTCGCTCGATCGATGACACTCGATCGATCTCACAATCGATCTCACTCAATCTAATTGATTCGATCTGTTTCACAATCGATATGACTATCGATCTCACAATCGATCTCACTATCGATCTCACGATCGATCTCAGAATCGATCTCACATTCGGTCTCACTATCGATCCCACTATCGATATCACAATCGATCTCACAATCAACGCAATCATCATCATCAACATCATCGTCATCAGCGTCATCAACCTCATCATCATCATCATCATCATCAACATCGTAATCGGGACACCATCATCATCATCATCATCATCATCATCACCTCATCACCGTCATCATCAACAACATCATCATCATCATCATCAACGGGCCACCATCATCGTCACCATCATCATCAACATCATCATCATCGGGACACCCACATCATCACCATCATCATCGGAACGCCACCATCAACATCACCATCAGCAACGCATCATCACCATCATGAACAAACTTATCAACATCATCTCCATCGGGACACCATCATCATCATCAGCAACACCATCATCAACATCATCATCATCGGGACACCATCATCATCACCATCACCATCACCATCACCATCATCAGCATCGGGACGCCATCATCATCATCATCATCAACACCACCATCATCATCATCGGGCCACCATCATCAAAATCCGCATCATCACCTCATCATAATCCTCATCATCGCCGTCAGCATCATCATCATCGGGTCACAGCCATCGTCATCATCATCATCAACATCATCATCGGAACACCATCATCATCATCATCATCCTCATCATCATCATCATCATCATCATCATCATCATCATCAACATGACCATCATCAGCAGCAACATCATCCTCCTCCTTGTCCTCGGGACAACCACCATCAGCAACAACACCATCATCACCATCACCATTGTCCTCGGGACACCATCATCACCATCAGCTTCATTATCATCTTCATCATCATCAGCATCATTATCACCTCATCTCACCATTACCAACATCATCATTATCATCAACAGCATCATCAACATCATCACCATCGGGACACCATCATCATCATCACAACCATGGCCATTCTCATCACCATCATCATCATCATCATCATCATCATCAACATCGTCATCATCATCATCATCATCATCATCATCGGGACACCATCATCACCACCACCATCACCATCATCATCAGCATCAGCATCATCAACATCATCATCATCACCATCGGGACACCATCATCATCAACATCATCATCAACAACCTCATCATCATCGGGGCACCATCATCACCATCTTCATCATAATCTCATCACCATCTCATCACCATCAACATCACCAGGATCATCAACATCATCATCATCCGGAGACCATCATCATCAGCAACATCAGCATCATCAACATCATCAACATCGGGACACCATCATCATCGCCACCATGGCCATCATCATCATCATCATCCTCATCAGCATCGTCAACATCATCATCATCGGGACACCATCATCATCACCACCATCACCATCACCATCACCATCATCATCATCATCATCATCAATCTTCATCATCATCATCATCATCATCATCATCATCATCATCATCATCATCATCATCTTCATCTTCATCATTATCATCATCATCATCATCAATCTTCATCTTCATCTTCATCTTCATCATCATCATCATCATCATCATCATCATCATCATCATCATCATCATCATCATCATCATCATCGGGACACCGACGGGACACGGGCGGGACACTGGCGGGACACCGCGCCCCACCGGCCCCCGGAAAAGAAACATTTGGTCCGGCCGTGCCTCAGCCGGAGGCAGGACACCAGCGGGACACCGTGCCCCACCGGCCCCCGGAAAGGAAACATTTGGTCCGGCCGCGCCTCAGCCGGAGGACACTTGTTTCTCGCCCGCCCACGCAGCTTCGCCTCGGCCGCACGCACGGCACGCACGAACACGAAACCGAAACCGATTTCCCAGTAGGGGGGCTCTCCGTTCCACTTCGATATCACCCCCTCATCTCCGAAGCTTCTTGTTGGATAGATCGTCTGATGGCACCGAGTTTACAGTCTGGGACATCGCTGCAAGGACCTGCCACTCAAAGGAGCCGCGGCAATCTGGGGGTGGCGTTGTGCATCCACGTTTGACACGGATCCATCACTCCCTCCCCCATCCCCCATTCTCCTCTTCCCCCCTCGTCGTTCTGGGTTTTGCACGCGCCACCTCTCCTGCTGCACGATTCACTTGCCAAAGCCCCAAGTCCACTCTAGGATTATGTTGCCCCCGTCGTACTTCAGGACCAC